AATTAAGGAAGTGAATATTTAAGTACCAGGAAAAGCTTAGCTTTGTGAAGAAAAGTGATCAAAGCCATTTCCTGGAGCATACAGAGAATACTAGGCAAGTCAGTGGAGGCAGTCAGCATTTTTCTTTCTAATGACGAAGCGGCCTTTGATCCCCAAGCCAAGAGCTGATACATACCACCTTTTCCAGAGTCAGCGGCAATCCTGCCTGTGGCCAGTGATCCCAGGTAAGGTGTGCCTTATGCTGAAGATCTGAACTGAACTGAATTTCAGCAGAAAAATCAATGGCAAGTGCCGAACTTTTACACACACCATTGAAGGAAGGTATTCCCCCAACTCCACACTCTGTTTCCCTGTGGGTAAGCAATAGTTCACTCATTCTATAAGCCTGGTGAGAAATCAACATTGCAGATTATTTTTACAAGGTAATCTCGAAAGACTAAAGAAATTTCTTTTATTAATCAGAAGGTATGCTTAACAAAGAGCATGAATTGCAGCTTGAGTTCAGTCGGAGAGTCCTGTGGGAGACAGTTTCCAAACAGCAAAGAGCAGCCTTCAGGTGCAGTTCACCTCCGCTCTCTCCTTTCTCTATCCTGCAAGCAACGTCCCCCAGTTTGAGGTCAGTCCTGCTACAACACTGCAGCCAGGATCCCGCTGTGATGCTGTCCACACCAGAATGCTTTATGCTCAGCCAGGACTACAGGCAGTGGCAGCACAACAGACCGAGGAGCTATAGAGTGACGCTTTTGTCACCCCAACTACAATAAGCAGTACTGAAATAAGAGTTATACTCCCTTTATCCATGCTGTAAGCCCATCCCTAGCCTCCACAACCTTTAACAAGCAATGCTAACATTAGATAGAGAGTTTTGGCAAAGGATGAAATCTAGGAATTTTTTAAGATCAAGTTACACACTTTGACTGTAGGCTCAGCTGAGGCCAACTTAAACATGATTTAAGTCACCCAGCTCTGTGTTTTAAGGATTAATAATTTGAAGTTTGCAGAGGCATCATATATTTGCCCAAGTGAAAAAGTGCTATCACACTTTATATGTCAGCAATAATTCTGCTTGCAAAGTTCCCTGTTCCTGTAAAGTTTTAACCAATTTAGTGGGGGAAGCATAGACAAGGGCAATCTCAGGACACGCTTATTGCAAACACAAGATCCCAAGTGGATTTTCACAGGCTAGACCTGCATGCATGCATGCATGCATATCTGATCCAAAGTTGGCACACTTCACTTGATCTTAAACAAAAATATCACATTGCGAAATCACTATCTGGTGGCCATTGCATTAGGGGAGAGAAAAACTCAAAAATCTCAGTTCTCTAAACTCAGAGATTTCAGAGGCAGCACTGGAACCACTGCATATAGAAACCACAACGTGAGCGCAGGATCGACACCAGAGGAAAAACCCTATCTCCAAGCAGAAACCAAGTAATCCTAATCCAATTTATCCTAATCTATACAAAGCAAACAAGTGCATTTATTATAAAACAAGATAACTTGCCTGAGCAGTAAGGCAAGCTAATCTGTCTTTCAGTTGTTGGCAATCATGCTGTGCTTTCTGACCTTTGCCTGCAGAAAGCCAAACTTGTTTCCTACTTCTGAAACGTTCTCGCTGTCAATAACTGTGTAATTTGTAACACAGATCTAGCCCAAGGGCGGGGAGGAATATGTTGATGTAGACTTGACCTCTTGTGATGGCAATGACAGAAGATGTAATAAACCCAAAATTCCCAGAAAAGACTCAATTACCAACAAACCCCATCAGCTCCTCTCTCACAGCAAGATGGGAAAGCAGTTCTCCTTTGCTACAGTTTTAAGCTTGTTCTTTGGTGAATGTCTTATCTTCTCTCTGACTGTCTGAAACAAAAGTGTGTTCCTCATCATGAGGAGGAAAAGGCGTAAGATACTCGCTGTGTATGTTTACATCAGCATTGTATTACTAACACAGGCATACACCGACAAACAGAGATGACATACATTTTCCCTACTTTTGGCATACATCATTTACCCTATGCAGCACCAGAGTAGTTAACTTTGAGCAAGAGGAAAAGCATATTGGGGGCAGAATACTGACAGAAATACTGTTCTGGATGACCTGTTGAACCCTCTTGCTTCCCTTAATCCCCGAAAGGAGGCTTTCCCGTCTCTCGCTCCCCAGCTCTGTGCTACTGCTACGATAAACGCCACATTCCAGCACAATATTTTTTTTTTCATCATCACATAAATTTATAACTTAATGGCTTCAGGGCAGGAAGTCTTCATTTTGTGCCAAAAGAAAGCACATGTAAGCCTAGTTAGCTTGCATAACAGCAAATTTACTGTTCTCAAACGCACAACAGACAGGCCTTCTACAACCTAAGAAAAGGCATGGAGTGACCTTGACCACCACACTTACTAGCGGAGTCAAGTTTCAGCAAAGAAATCAGAAAGATGCTTCAATCCTCCATCACAGATCTACTCTCTGCTGAGAACAAAAATTCACCTAGTTTTCAGCTGGGGCAAATCTCACGCATTCAAGGAAAAGAGATTCCTTCAGTCTGCATTCACTTAGATTGAGGTTTGCAAAGTGTCATCCTTCTTCATAAAGGGTCATTTGGTTGAAAGTGCATATCAATGTGGCTAGCAAAAAAAAATAAATTAATTTTGATGGAACTGGAATATTTCTGGTTCTTAGTCTTCAAATTCTACCACGAAAACAGAAGACAAGTCCAGCTGATCCTACCACATCCACACTCAGGCACCAATGCTACAATGCCAAACACCAGCCAGTCATCTACACACGCACTGGTTGCCACAGACACCAACCCCCCAGATCTCATGGCATGAAAGTAAGCGCAAGGGTTCCAAATATGCCCCAGCATTTAAGCAATGCAAAGGAAAACAAACACATAAAACTTTAGATCAACTGAACCATGGATGTTTTTATTATGCGGAAAGGACTAATAACACTGCCCGAGTTCTGCAATCCAAATGGAAAAGCCAAGCATGGCTGCTCCTACTGCCACACATTCCATAATTCAAGAGCATTCACAAATAGTTTAAAAATAAAATAAAATAAATCCATGCCTATTCACTGAGACCCGACAATTTTTGACTCCCCTCTCATAACACCTATTGCCTAAAGGGGAAAAGCCGCAGCAATCTTCCAGCACACCAATAAATCCAGCCTCATGCACCACTCTCCCCCCATCCCCCTGCCACATGAATACATCACTTGCTTGTGCTTCAGCTTTTTCTTTGTTTAATTTTTATTTCCTACACTTTCCCAACTAACCAGAGAGGTGCAGCTGTTACAGCCTCTCTGAAAAAAATACAAGCAGGAAGGCAGCCCTCCTGCCTACACTCCCGAGCAAAACTTGCACCTGGCAATGTCAAGGTCATGGTTATTTTTCTCTGACCATCAAGTTTCCAAACTGTTTCAACAAACCACAGAGGGGTTTGCACCAGGCAAGACCTCATCCACACACCCCAAATTACAAGCCACCCCCGACTCCAATGCATCCGGCAGTGGACACCCCACAGGAACACGGGTGACACCAGACCCTCCCCCCCTCTGCAGCGTTTCTGATCCCACCACCTTTAACCTCCGCTGAGGAAACCCTGGCCACGCATGGCTGCTTCCAGTCTGCTACAGAAGTCAAGCGTCCCATGGCATGGGAACACCCAAAAAATTCAAATCTGGGCCTAGCGCGAGCAGGACAGCCCCTTTTTTTCTTTTTTTTTTGCATACGTTTTCATCCAAATCCCCCAAGTGTGATTTAATGCTGACACCTTTTCCTCCCAGGTCTGGGATTCCCCGAACTCCCCGAAGTGACTCAATAAAAGCAATAAAAGTTTCACGGGGACGTACAAAACGGGGAAGTTCGCTGGCGAGTATGACCTAACGCATCCAAAATAACCCCAGACCCCAACCCACAACCCCAGGGAGGGCAAGGGACGCGCCCCAGACGCGCGCTGCCACCCACAAGTGGCTTAAACGCCTCCTCCAGCGCTGGACGGTGACAATGTGGCAGCGCAGCTGGAAAACTAGGGTGCACGGCGGGGTCAGGGGACAGCGCTGATCCAGACTCAGCAAATACATATATATATATATATACACACACGTGTATAAATATATACATATATAAATAAAAGAAGATGAGGA